GGAGAACCATATAAAAAATGAAGTAGGGGGGAGGTGGGTGCGGGGATGGGGTAATTGGGGGATGGGCATTAAAGAGGGCACGTGATGTGATGAGCACTGGGTGATATATGATGAATTATTGAACACTGCATCTGAAACTGATAATGTACTGTATGTTGGCTAACTGAACTTAAAAAAGAAAAATAAATAACAGAATAATAAAATATAGGCCGGAAGTAGAATGTGACATAATGGAAACTACTTGATCAATATTGTTAAATAAATGAGCGAATCATTTCTTTTCTGGAAAAAAAAAAAGCAGGATTATGAAGTAGTAAGGTTTTTCTGTTTTCATTCTACAGGTCACACACTTGCTCTGGAGGGAGAGACAGGCGAGGAGCCGCAATGCCCTTTGGAATGTGTTTTAATACTCGTTATGGTAGTAGATTTACACACCCGGATAAGTGAGAGAGTCAGAGAGGGCATCACGGAGCCAGGACACCAATTTCCTAAAAATCGTAAGGCATATCACCAGGGCATAATGCAATTGGCAAGGAGGCTCAGGGAGATGCTCGGCAGGAAGTCATCAACACAAAACCCATTAGCTGGACAGTTCGGCAGGTGGAAGCAAATGGACCCCGCTGGATGGTTGCCACCACGCCTTTCTGCTCTGACCTTTTCAGAGCCTTCTTTTCCACTCATACGCTCATGATTAGGCCTCAGGGTCCTACAGAGACCACAGCAGATTCCTACACTTTACATATATTTTCTACATAGCAGTCTTCTAAGAGTAAAATTAAAAGGTAATTATTGAATACATGTGCTTGAGCACAACACTAGTGAAAATGTGTATACACATGTAGGACATCATGGTTTCCCCATGTCTCCATCCTCTAGGAGGGAAGGTACTGGGCTTCAATGCTTTGGGTATCCTTTGGGAAGGGTTCTTTTTAGCAAAGGACTCTCTTGTCAGCATCTTTCTACCACAGTATCTCTTTTGCTTCCTCCTAGTTCATTTCATTACTTCAAGGGAACAAGCAATAAATCTTTACTTCAATCCAGTAATAATCATGCACTCCTCAATATATATTCATAGAATGCTGACTGTTATGCTTGGCAATGCACTAAGTGTTGTTGGGAACACAAGGGTAGACAATCTGCCTTGTCAATCTTTTCCCTGAAAGGGAGTATGGGGTGCCATTTTGAATATTCTTGTTTACTGTTTTGTTGTTGTTGTTGTTAACTATTAAGTATAACAGCAATAAAAATTACCAGGTTTTTTCTTAAGATTTATAGTACACTACACTGCCATACCTGTTGCTATCCTAGAATCAATCTAACAGAATAGTAATGATAGTAATTCCCGATATTTCCATGCAATGTGTCAAAGTTTTAGCCAATGAAATGTCAACAGAGGTGATGTGTATCATTTCTGGGTCAATGGTCTTACAAAATGGGAGTGGGGGCACCTGGGTGGTACGTTGGTTGAGCATCTGTTTCTTGGTTTCCACCTAGGTCATGATCTCAGGGTTGTGAGATCGAGCCCCACAAGGGGCTCTGTGGGTGGGGAGCCTGCTTGAGGGTCTCTCTGCCTCTCCCTCTGCCCCTCCTGCTCATACTCTCCCTTTCGCTCTAAAAATAAATAAATAATTTTTTAAAATGGGAGTGTACCCGCTATACTCTCTCTCCCTATGCTGGAAGGATAAAGACGACAAGGAGGCCCTAGAGGATGATGACAGCCAATACTTTAGACTCAGACCCAAAGGAGTCCACAAGGCCAAAGGGATGTGCCCAAACAGAGCCCATGTTCCTCCTTCCAGACCACTCTCTAGGTACTAAAGTTACTAACATTTCCCTTCACCAGCCTGTAGGGATCTCTTCCCAGGCTGTGCTGCTTGTGGTGGGACCATCCAAACGTTAGCTGTCTGAAGGGCTGCAGGTATAGCTTGAACCAGGTCATCCTTGCATGTGCACAGAAAGCTCCTTGAAGGGAGAGACAGCTGGAAATAAAGGGACGAGAGCAGGCAGGAGGATGGTGGGGAAATGTGAGGGATTTGAGAATTCTGAATGGGAACCTGGTTTTCAAAGTCGTTATAAAAGTAGGATGACAATATATTTTCTTCAATAGTTTGTTTCAAAAGTCCTTTAATTTTTTTTTTTTTGAGATTTTATTTATTTGACAGAGAGAGAGCATGTGAACACAAGCAGGGGGAGCGGACAGAGGGAGAACCCTGGGATCATGACCTGAGCTGAAGGCAGACACTTAACCGACTGAGCCACCCAGGTGCCCCAAAAGTCCTTTCACTTCTAAGTATTTGATGCATATAGGAGGTCTAGTTAAATGTGAATTCTAGATAAACAATATTTTCTTAGTATGAGGGTGTGTCTCAAATATTGCAGAGGACATATTTACACTAAAAAGTATCCTTTGTTTATCAAAAGTTGAAGTTTCACTTGTCATCCTATGGTTTTTTGTTTATTTGTTTTTGTTTTTGCTAAATCTGACAATCCCAGTAGGGGTCTCCATTTGTATTCTTGCTAGAGGACTGTGAAAATCAGGATGGGTCTAGGGGAGCCATAAAATGGACAGAATCTGGCCCCTGAATCCCTGAACAGGAAAGCCACCCGATGACCAGCCACACCCATCTGGGACTGTCACAGGAGGAAGGACAGCTCCGACTGATTTTTTTTTTTTTTAAGATTTTATTTATTTATTTGACAGACAGAGATGACAAGCAGGCTGAGAGGCAGGCAGAGAGAGAGCAGGCTCCCTGCTGAGCAGAGGAGCCCGATGCGGGGCTCGATCCCAGGACCCTGGCATCATGACCTGAGCCGAAGGCAGAGGCTTTAACCCACTGAGCCACCCAGGCGCCCCCGACTGATTTTGACTCGTACGTTTTTAGGATTTGTTTATTACAGCACGCAGTAACTATTGTTACTAATCCAAGAAAGCATTCTGCATTCCTTACCATGAATACTACTATAAAAATCTCTAGGCTGAGGGAAAGAAAGCAGAGCTCGTTGGAGCAGTGGGCAAACAGAGGGAAATGTATCCCTCTAGGGACCAAATCCCCTTCTTAGCAACATCAGCCCTTTGGGGCTCTTTTCTGGGGACCTGGGACTCTTTCACAGCTGAGACCTGCAATGAAACTGCCAGAGTGGGATGTCTCTAGACCATGATAACCTCAAGGGATCAAGCATTGCTGTCATGTTTTTAATAATAACACACACATGTACAGATAACATAAGGATACATGTAAAATAAAATATCATCGATACAGATGTCTATGCAAGAATGTATAAAAGGCAGTAAACATTGATTGAGTACTTATTATGTATTAAATAAGCTGAACTCACTTCCACGGATTATCTCATTTAATTCTCTTAATACTCCTATGAGGTAGGTTTCATTATTACTTCCCTTTCACAGATAAGGAGACTGAAGTGAGATGGGTCCAAAATCATACAGCTACTGAGTGGTATTTGACCACATAATGGTTGACTCGAAACCCAGCTTTTATAGGAACAATTTGGAAAACTGCATTTTCTAGAGCACACATTATCAGATTATCTGAGTCTGTGGGAGCAATTTCACAACTGTTTAGGTTGTAGTTCACTGAGAGCAGTGTGAAATAATTCTGGTCTCTAGACAGGTGAAGAGATTCTGTCTAGCAGAGGGCCAACCTCCCCTCCTGGGAAAAACCAGGTTTATGCCCATTTGCACATTCATTTCATTCATTTCTTCATACGGATGTGTGCGTGGGCTTTCCTCCTTGAACCCATTGTAATATCTGCTTGGTTCCTTCATGCAATAAGGGAGCTAAACCGATTCTTTAATTCATGTTCATTTTGTATCTGTATATGAGGCATGATTTTGTTTTTTTAAAAAATCAACCTCTCACAGTTTCACCGGAAGGCTCTCACTGATGGCTCATGGATAAAAACAAGAGAAAATAAGCCCAGATAGTACCATGTAACTTGATCATCTGGAGGAGGGGGACTTCCAACCTGTTTGGTTCTTGGCAGAGGTCATTTTTTCCCACCTAGGTGGGCATCAGGAATGTCTCAGCCCCTTCCGAGTCCTAACTTAGAGGACATGGGTGAGAGAGAGTCAAGAATCACTTCTCCGTTCTAAAGGTCACTTCCAACCCTGCTTCTCGCCGGCCAGTGTCACTGAGATGACCCAGAGCCTCTTGCAGGAGTTGCCAGGGTGCTGCCCTGTGGGCTCCACCAGAAAGACTCCCAGCCTGACCTTCACATAAAAGAGCTGTATGTACCATTCAATGACTTAATAGTTTTAAACTGCTTAGAAGAGGGACTATATAAGGGCCATATGAGTATTTGCTAAATAACCCTCCTGCCCATATAGATTCCTTTAAAAAAAAAAAAAAATCTCCAAACCCTGCTGATGTCTGCTATTTCTATTTTGTTTCTTGAGATCCCAGTGGGGGAATGCAAATGCACAGGGCCGTTAGGTATATCCCAAGTTTCTGTTCAGGAACATTCTCAAAGAGAGCTTTCACTCCCAGGAAGACGATCCTGCCCTTGGTGGCCCAGGCATTTTAACAAATGAGTGAATAAACCACTACAGAGCCCCTAAAACCATATGAAATCTCTGGAAGAAACCTCAGCTGCTTTGTTTTCCCAGGGTGGGAATGGTGACCCGGCCTGATAGGGCATCCCTGGTCCAAGGACTACGTCACCAAAGGGAAGCATGGGGCCAGGAGCCTGACAGCCAAGTTTCTGAGCAGCCTTCTGTACCATGAGCCGGGGGCAGTGAGGATTCCTAATTTGCTGGTCCTCTTGGGGTTGGGGTGGGGTAACAGCTTAGCACAGGACAGGAAATAAGATGGCACATGACGGGGGGTGAGGGGGTTGCTCAACAGGCTGTAGGACTTTTATGACCTCAGCATAATACTAACGAAGCCCCAAAAATGAGGTATTTTCGATTTCCCAGTTTCTTCCATGTGTGAGAAAACACATTAGTGACCGTGGTATTTTAAGCGACCAGGCACACATACCTTGCTTTCACTTTCGTTGGATAGAATTTCCAGAGCTTCCAGGTGTGACAAACCTTGATACTCATCAAACAGCATCCCATAGTGGGCAGTCCTCTCGGCTGTCAGCTGCTGGGCCAGTCTCTCCTTCTCTTTCTCCTTGGCTTCCCTTAACATCTGCAGAAACACACAAGGTTTGTGTCCTGGATGTGGGCTCGAAAGCCTCATTTCCTGTGTACGACGTAGGGAGAGATGAGGGCTGGCTCTGTCTTTGCGTCACTTGGGAATTTCTAACAAAATGATTCTTTCATTGATTCGACTGACAGGTTTCCCATTCTGGAAAGTGGAATGTTCCAGAATATACTAGAATATTCTGGAAAGTGGAATATTTCCAGACTATTCCACTTCGAATCTTACATGTTCATTATGTACACGCCCAAACAAAGCAAAAATTCTATGCTTGGGTCCAGGATTGGAAAGAAGCAAAACAGAAGCTGAATGAACAGCGGTTTTTGCTGAAGTGTTTTCCATGTGTGTGATTAATTTTCTTGTTTTCTGGAATATCCAAATTTTCTACAGTGATCAAATTGATGTACACTGGAAAAGTCCAATCTGTTGTGATAAGGTTTATTGCAACTTCTGTACCAGGCAGAACTCAAAGCAGCCACAAGCCTGTCTGTTTTGATTGGTGTGACATTATTTTAAAAACTTGATGTGTGTGGTTATTAACCATCTTTGATGACAAAAATTAATAAAATGTAAACTCATAATGTATTCCTCATCAGATAATATATTTCCTGAATACAAAAAAGGATATTAGCTTATCAGTTCTTGAGAAGTCTGACAGAGAGTGGAGTTCCTCTCCACGTTCATCATTTTTCTCCAGTTATTTTTTTGTTGATTACATAAAGAGAACAAAATAAACACGAGTCCCTCAGTCACTCCCAATTTCCTGCACTTGCTTTCTATGATTCGAAGCATCTTTTATTTGAGTCCTCATTAAGTTTACTGGGCATTATGTTTATAGGGTTCTTTAGTATCTACGGGGAGCACCGTAAACACAGCGGCGGCCACAAATTCACAAGGGGAAGATCACGGAAGAACAGATTGTTGTTTTTACTGCGTGTCAATAAAACTGTCAAGCTCCTTCTCCTTTCAGGTTTTCTGAGGTCGTTAGCCAAAAATTCACTGGGCTTCCGACAGAATTCTCCTCTCTGTCTGTCTTTAAGACTACATATGTACAAGCTCTGAATTTTAAGGTTTTCAAAACAACTCCATCAAATGATCACTGGGGATTTTTAACACTTAAAATAAAACCCCACTAGTCCCACTGATCTTCCTGGCTTGGCGGTGGTAAAACAAAACAACAAAGTGACACCAAAATTGCTTCCTTTCCCCACAGCAACTTCCATCTCTAAATCTGTGCTTTGGAACACAGGGCAAGGGATGAAAACGAAGGGGGAAGGTCGCTCTGGAATGATTTGAGTTCCCTCAAAAGATGGAATGAAATTAAAGTTGTGTAAAGAAGAGCTGGGTTTCCACAGGATGTTGGTCTATTTTCCATGTGGAAAGGAAAAGGAGATGGTGTGAAAGAGCAGGGAGTGGTTGTGGCGAGGGAGTCTTCTGGACGGAAGGGCAGCTCTGGAGACTTGTGTCTGTGGGTCCGGAAACTACCCTGTGTCACTGGGACAGAACATGGGAGAAGTCAGGAACATTGTGGGCTTCTGTAGTTACTGAGTGTGGATTAGGAAAAATCCAACAGGCTTCCCTATGTCAACGGATGGCAGCTTCATCCTTTGAGTTGTTCATGCCAACAACCGTGGGGTCGCTCTTGCTGCCTCCTTATCTCACACCCCAAGTTTCCTCCATTGGGAAGTCTGGGTCGACCTTCAGAACATCCCTGGAATCAGCATTCACCCCCCCACCCCCGTTCCAGGGCTCCACATTGAGCCACCACGTCCCCCTGCTTAGGTAACAGCACTTGCCCCCTGAGGAGGCTGTGAGAGCTGCAGAATCAGTGACCAAGGGCCCCGCCCTGGATGCTGTACTTTGCAGTCCATGCCTCCCGTGATCATCACCAGTGCAGCAGGGACAATGGGGAGACCTGTCCGGGGACATCAGCTGAAGGACTGTCCAAGGGCTCTGCCCAGCTTTCCTCATAGGGTACAGCAGCCTAGGATGCTTCTGCCCCATCTTCTCTCCCATTCCCCATCCCTGGGGTCAGCCTTGCATCTTGGTCTGATGGCCCCGCCAGCCTTCTTGCCCCCCACCTCCACTTTCTTGCTCAGCATTTCCCCCTAATAAAAGCCCCACATTTTAAGGCCATCTTGGCCCCTGTTCCTGGGAAAGCCTGCGCTGGTACCCACTCCACCTGGTCTCCCTGCCCTCAGGCCTCCCCATACCCAGTCTGTTTTCAACACAGTAACTAAAGTGCTCCTGTTACAGGCAGATCTTGTCACTCCCCTTTTAGTAATGCTGTAATGGTTTCACCATTTCACTAACGGTTCAACCCGAGGTCCCTGCAAATGCCCTCTAGGATCTGCCATGACCTGTTCCCCATTAGTATTCTATCCTCATCTGTAACAGTTCTCCTTCTGGCTCACTTCCTTCCCACCATGTAGCTTCCTTCTTCTTCATCCACGCTAGACACTCCTGCCCCAGGACCTTTGCACAAGCTGCCCTTGCTGCATGCAATGTGCTTCACTCAGATTTCAGCATGGTCAAGACCCTCATCTACTTCAATATTTGCTCAAATGTCATCATCTCCATGAGGCCACCCCCCTAACAATCCAATTTAATACCTAACCTGCCTCTCACTTCCACATTCCTGACTACCTTCTTCCTGCCTTTTTTTTTTCCCCACAGCACTCAATCATCTTTTAAAATACTAGATGATGTCGATGGTTTGTCTGTCTCTCCTCATTGGAACAAAAACTCCTTAAGGACAGGGATTTTTATCCATTTTGGCTACTGGTATAGCTCAAGTGCTTGGAACAGTGCCTGGCACATAGTGGACATTCAAAATGCATCTCTGGAATGAATAAAGGAATGAATGAATGAATGAAAAATTACTGTGTGGCAGTAGGTTGGAGTAGGTAGTGTTGCGGTGATCTGTGTGAATTAGAGGTGCGTTAGGTCACACTCTCCCCACATTATCAGTTTCTTAACTAGAATCAAATTTATATATCTACATATATTCTTATAGATATATATATGTATGCTTGTATGCACATATATGTAATACATAATACATAGTTGTATACACATGTATATAGAAATTTTATAGACATATGAAATCTTGTAGCAAAAATATTCCTACCTGCTCATCAAATATCCTTTTCCTCCCAGACATGTGACTAAACTATATTTCTGAGCCCGCTGAACTGAATTAGGTAGACTATGTGTCAAGTTTTGGCCAAAGGAATGAGGGTAAAGTCCTAAATTGTCCCACCTAGTCCTCCCCATTTCACCTTCCCCTCTCTAGGAGGCTAGAGGTGAAGCATTTTAGGATGGTGGAGTCATGGGATAGGAGCTCAGAAAAGAACTACCTAGAGAGTCCCTGGACAGAAATGTTCACACCGTAGGAGCAAAAGATAGACTTTCTTCTGTTCTTAGCCACACTGATCCTTGGGGGTTGGTTTTTCTGTGTTGCTTCTGTTTTGCAACATCTAGTATTAATTACCTGATTAATATAAATCTAGTTTCTTTTTCTTCTTAAACTTTTTTGTTTAAACAGATTTTATTTATTTCTTTGAGAGAGAGACACAGCACAAAGCAGGGGGGAGGAACAGAGGCAGAGGGAGAAGCAGGATCCCGGCTGAGCAGGAAGCTGGACATGGGACTCGATCTCAGGACCCCGGGATCATGACCTGAGCTGATGGAAGATGCTTCACTGACTGAACCACCCAAGTGCCTCTCTATTTTCTTTTTAAAGATCAGTAGGGTGGTGGTTTAGGGGATCCTGCCAAGTCCCGACCTGAGCTATAATATCAGAGTGGTTATAGGAGGGTTACTCTGGAAGAGATGAGAGGAAATAGCTTAAAACAAAAGCTTTTCGGGAACTGCCACTAACACGATGTCAGTGATAGGTCCTCGGTGGCTTTCTACTCCTGAGCTGCTGAGAAGCTATGTTTGTCCTGCCTGTGAAATTTATAAAACCTGGGGCAGAATCAGCTGCTCCTGATTTTGGGAAGGCAAAGACAGACCTGGTGTATCTGACTGCTGGGGAGGACAGGGACAAGCGGCCTGCTGGCCCCACAGAGCATGAACTGGGCAGGTGCCAACCAAAAGAGCAAGTTCAGCATTATTGTTTTATATTTGGAAAATAAGGTAAAGGGTATTTTTAATTTATGTAACTACTCTAAGTAAGCAAAACACAGATTAAAAAAAATTTTTTTTAAGTAAGCTCTACGCTTGATGTGGGGCTTGAAGTCACAACCCTGAGATCAAGAGTCACATGCTCCACCAATGGAGCCAGCCAGGGAGCCCAAGGAGTCAATTCTTCACGTTTCTCAAGGCCGGGTGGGGGGGGAGGGGGGAGGGGTGTATCGGGAAACATTAAAACTAGAAGTGTGAGAAGAGAAGCCCATCCTTGCATATACTAAGAGGACTATAAATTAAAATTCCAATGAAATATCATTTCTACCTATTATATGGACACATAATAATGACAACAATAGTAACAGGCATTCCTGACCCGGGTACTATGCTAATTCATTGAATCCTTACATCAAAGCCATCAGCAGGTACTGATGTTCTACCCAGTACAAGTAAGTAAACCAGGGCACAGAGGGGTTAAGTAACCTGTTCAAGGTCACAGGGGTAGAACGTGGGAAATCTGGAATACATACAATAATGCTACAATGTGAATGCTTGTGTCCCCCTAGTCCCTGGTGTGATAGTATTTGGAGGTGGGGCCTTTGGGAGGGGATTGGGTCGAGGACGGAGCTCTCATGAGTGGGATTAGTGATCATACAAGAGACAGCCCACAGAACTCCTTCCCTCTTCCACTACGTGAGGATACAGCAAGAAGACAGCTGTCTATGAGGCGGGAACGGACCGCTACCAGACACCGAATCTGCCAGCACCTTGACTTTGGGCTTCATAGACTCCAGCACTATGAGAAATCAGTGTTCGTTGCTCTAAGACCCCAGTCTCTAGCACTCTGTTACAGTAGCCTGGGTGGGCTAAATGTGACCATTTCTTCAAGAAATTTCTTCAAGAAATTATTAAGTGAGTGGGACGCCTGGGTGGCTCAGTTGGTTAAGCCACTGCCTTCAGCCCAGGTCATGATCCCAGGGTCCTGGGATCGAGTCCCACATCGGGCTCCTCGGTAGGGAGCCTGCTTCTCTCTCTGACTCTGCCTGCTTGTGCATGGTCTCTCTCTCTCTCTCTGACAGATAAATAAATAAAATATTAAAAAAAATAAATTATTAAGTGAGTAAAGCAAGGTACAAAAGAATGTGGTTAGTAGGCTGCCATTTGTCTGAAAAAGTATGTATGTGTCTACATATCTGCATATCTGTATCTCTAGCTCACGAACATATGTTCGCCCGTATGCATGGCTATATGATCATTCTGACAGAATCCATATGAAGCTGTTAACAGTGTTTGTCTCCCGGGAGAAACCAAGCGGCTGGGGAAAGAGGGGTCTTAGAAACTCAATTTTCAGCCTCCACTATCTTAACGTCATTTGAATTTAAGTCACATGCTTGAAAACACTCATTAAAAAGTGTAAACACTCATAAAAATATGTATTTACTTTACAGACTGAAAGAAGACACGGCAAACGTATATAATCCCACCTGCGATAAGGAAACGGTTCTCTCCATGAGCGTCTTGGTCCGTTTAAAGCCTGGGTCACTCTCCGCGAGGACATTCATGGTTTTCTTACCGATGAATTCCAAAGCATCAAGACCGCCCGTTAAGACACTTTTACCCTGCCGATGAGATAACGGCATGAGATTTCTTTTTGCATTTTGCTTTTCCACAGTGGTCAGTAACTCCTAAGTGGCACCATCTTCAAATATTAAAATCAATATAAAGTCACAATTGTTTCCCATTAGGGGTTTACTATCCACTTCATTCTATTTTCTTTTTCTTAGAAGGGCGTATGTCATATAATGTGTAGGACAGACAATATTATTGAAAAGGGTGCTTATGGGTGCCTGGGTGGCTCAGTCATTAAGCCTCTGCCTTCGGCTCGGGTCATGATCCCAGGGTCCTGGGATGGAGCCCTGCATCGGGCTCCCTGCTAGGTGGGGAGCCTGCTTCTCTCCCACTCCCCCTTGCTTGTATTCCCTCTCTCACTGTCTCTCTCTCTCTCTGTCAAATAAATAAATAAAATCTTAAAAAAAAAAATAGAAAGGGTGCTTAGGAAAAACCAGGGCATACCTGAGATGAATTTTGTGGGCTCTGAGTGTATGGATAGATATGTATCTAAGATATAAAATTAACAGGTGATCGCAATACTAGTTTTGTTTGAAAGAATGTTAACCCAAGTAACAGAATTATGTGGAGCAGTCTGTTAAAATGTCAAATATTCTCGTTAATTTAGTGAATTTTTTCATCTAGGGCCTTGGAGTGTAGGACCCTCAGGCTATGTCAGATGGCCCTTGGATAATTTCAGAAACTACTAATAACCATCTATAATTAGTATATTCATGAAATAAGACAGGTTGATTTCCATAGACTACTGGCTTTAGAAACTATTCTATCTTACAGTTAGCCTTTTGCAAATTCTCTCGTCAGCCATTGTTTTCCTTAAAAAACAAAGATTAAAACAACCAAGCTTCACTACCATGAAGTGTCCACATAAACAGGACTGCTTACATTTCTTTGCAACTTCTGTACAAACATCCCAACTCCACGACTGCAATGACAGTATGCGTGCATGTATTTATGAATTTACATGAATTTATACGCATTACATTTTATTCTTATATTTTGCCTACATGCATTTTCTAATCTTCTTAATTACTGCTTCATTAGCAATATTAGACTTCGCTGAGTATCCTTTAGTCCTCATTTCCATCTTGGACATTTAGACTTTGTTTTCAGCTCTGGGAGCCAAGCAATCGTCACTTTAAAACAGATTTGAACACTTGCATATTGTGGAAGAACTAGGGGATATAGGCAATGTATATTTTTGCCTCCTGTAGTTTCTTTTCTTTTGACATCCTATGAGGGATTACTTTGGTAAAGCATCACATGGGAGAAGGAAGGACATAGGGACTTCGATGAAGGGCGGATCTAGTGGGAAAGTCTGGGGCTTTGGAAAAGAAAGTCTCAGAAGGTAGAAGTGAACCCAGACCGAAAATGAGGCTGCTGAGTAAAAACTCAGAAGACAAACCCCCTGCATGGACTCAGGGAGATGAGGAACTCAAGGTCAAGAATGTTATCTTCGTTATCTGGAAATACTTCAGAAACATCTCGGGATATTGTTCCCAATTCCCTACCAGAATTTTTTTTTTTTTAATTTGAATGGCTTTATCATTTTCAAATTGAAGGTTAGGAAACACAGACCATCTAGCAAAAACAGCTGTCTCAAAATAAATAAATAAATAAAATAAAATAAAATAAAACCAAAAAACAGCTGTCTCAGCTCTATGAAAGGGCCCCCATCTCCTCCCCCAGCCAGAGGCTGTCCTTGCAGCTGTCGGAAAGGACACTGTTACATCAGACTGAAAATATTCCTTCTAAGCAGATCTTTTCTTTTAAACATAAAATATGTATCTTTTGCCCTTATTATTTTGGTGCCAAGGTTATGCTTACTCTGCAGGAGAAAGTGTAACAAAACCATAATCCAAAGTTACGAGGGGGGCCATCTTTTCTCTGATGTATTTAGGTCACTGGTAACTACAGACATCAAAGGGAGACACAGGGGAAACAGAGAAGGAGCTAACAGGGGAAACAGAGAAGGAGCTAACGACTCACTGTGTTTTGAACTACATGGGTGATGGTTGACAGCATGCCCCGAGACCCGGATGCAGGAGAAGTGGTTGGGCTTTCTGCAGGGCTCTGATCTGTGGCCACACCTGCCAGGAAGGAGAAAAACACCCTCTAAGAGTTGATTCTGCCTGATCTGAACTTAGAAAGCTTCCATCTGTGCACAGAGTGCACTATGGCCCAAGTCCAAGAAGCCCCGGAAATAAGTTCATCACTCACTCTGAGGGACTCCATTTTCAGCACCAGCTTGGGCCCCTTCCGGAGAGCTGGAATTTACACTATGAATCCGCAGGGTAGCCCCTGCCTTTTCCTTGACTGCTGTCAATCCATGACCTGTCAGGAAATAAAAATATGGTTCAGGAACACCACAGAAAACGCCTGGTCTGCCAATTCCATAGCTCATGCTCCAGCACTGTGGTAAGCTGTGGGTGTGTACCACAGTTATAAGAGACTGCGGCGGTTAGCAGTGTGGACGGATCCTCTTTACTCTTTTCTAAACTCTTCAGAACAGGCACGCACCATTCATTTTTGGACTCCTTGCAGGCCTAGCCCGTCACAGACACTCAATTCATATCTGTTGAATGGAAACGCTCCCTCAAAGGTTTTGTCATTCTTTCGGGGCAGAGAGTGCAAGGTCTGGTGCTGACAGGTCAAAATTAGAAGGCAAATTGGTGAGAAAACCAGGGGGGGCACCCAGTGGCTCTGACAGTTGTCCTAAGCAGTAAGGTCCAGGACGCAGGCTCGAACAGCAGCCAGTCAGGGGGAAGGACACTGGCTTTACCCATCCAAGCAGGGCCTGTCTATCCATATTCTCCACAGCCCAGCAGGGCACATATTCCACACACAGGGCTGACCTCCTCATCCCACCACAGACACACACACACACACACACACACACACACAAACAACCCTTGGCCTAGCATAGAAATAGTCTTGTTTACATTTTATTCTGGAGCAAAATTTTTCTTTTCTCCTCAGAGGCCCCCATGATGAGCTGCAGCTTTTCTCAAGTTCATGAACTGAACACAAAAATTAATAGTCTACTCAGAGTCCTAAGTGGCTTTTTGGTTTCTTGAAGGAGAAACAGCCTGGCTTGCCATTGTGCCAGCACTCGCCTTCCCCTTTGCGTGCAGGGAGAAAGGGAAAGATTGCACTAGGAACCCAGGCAACACCAGGTTGTTAAAACCCAACAATATTAGTTGTTGTGTGTGGGGGAAAAGTCCCAAATCATGGCAGGATTTGGGAACCAAAGAGAAGCAGCTGCTCTTAGAAAGCACTGTCAAAATCACCAATTGTTCATCTCCTGAATAAGAAAAAGACATGGATAAATCCCAAACCCAAATAACAGTATTTGTTGTAACTTCATTTATCAGAGTGATCTTAACATAATCAGGGCACTGATATTTACCAGAGAGAGGACTAATTAGATCCAGTGGAAATCACCTGTCATTGTATGCTACCTAGAAAACAGGGAAACTTACAAAACATTATTTACAATGTTTACCACATTAATTTCATGCAGAAATATGTCTATATTCATGTGTAGTTCATTAGATACAGTTCAAACTTATGATCGGGTTACTAAAAAAAAAAAAACACACATGCTTTATAACTGCTAAAACTAAGGCTGAAATTCATTCTCTCTAGCTTCTGGTAAATTCCAAGCATTTCAGTGAAAACTTACTGGAGTTTTGGTAGCACCTTGAAGTTATAGAATATCACTGAACTAAGTTATACCGAGTCCATATTCCTTAACGTATCTTAAAAATATATATATTCCAAAGGAAATAATGTACATCCAAATCACAGTCATAATTCTCTGAGGGCTAAAATAAAGAAAATGAATTGGAGAAGGCCGGGAGGCATGGGCTACACCTTCTTTGTGAAAGCCCTACAGGGTTCAGTGAAGACCCTGTCACTAACTCCTTCACCTTCTTTGCCCCTTTCGCGGGAGGGCCATGTCTGATTCTTTACCTAGGGAAAACCAGATTCTCACCATCTCAGAATCCGATTGATTAGGGGTATGTCTGCATTAACTGCCTCTAGAAAAGTTACTTTGTTTCTGGAAGGAAACACCACGTTTGTGTTCATATAAATGGGATGTGTCTGTTTAGTATACATGATACAATGCTGCTACTCCAGTCTCTCTCTCTCTCTCTCTCTCTCTCTCACACACACACACACACACACACACTTGACTGAGGTATAACTGATTTATAAAACATTGCGCACATTTACGTTTGCCCTAGCTTATTTTTTGATGGCCAGTTCTCTCTCCTGAATTCTTTTGTTAGTGGAAGTACATCTTTCCTGCGTTCTACTCGAAATGGAAAGCTATGGTTCTTCACAGACACGGTTTGGATGATGCCACACCCTACTTTGAAGAATAACTTCTAAAACTTTACTTAGTGTGACATCTAGTGCCCAGAATAAGGAAGTTATAATAAGGAGTCATTGTTGCCTTTTGACTGTGAGTCATTCTCAGAGATATTGATTAGGTTTTACCAATAACAGAAAAAAACCCAAATACGAATAACACTCCAGTGTATAATTCATGGATTCTTCATACATCATCACGAGCCCTAAGTAGCGTCAAAGAATGAAACTCCTCCAAATTCCAGGGCTCAAAATGTAGGATATCCTCTACACCTTGGTTTATTGCAGCAGAAACTGGTGAATCGTGCAAAGAAGAGAAGAACGTTGTACAATGCTGCGAAACTATACAATTTTAAAGCACATGTTAAATGACTGGCTGGTGTTTAATTTCTCACCTATACTCTACTGAGAAACATCCTAAATCTAGGAATCAGGAGGCTTGTGGAGGAATTTGGGTTCCATCACTTATTAGCTGTGTGATCTTCATGAGTTACTTAACCTCTCTGAGTCTCTACGGTTGTTTCTTCTCTGAAGAGAGGATTGTAACATTTATCTCCCAGGGTTCTACAAGGTCACTAAAGAGAAGTACCTGAAACCCTTGGTCCTGGCCAACATTTATTAGAGTACTTACTATATCCCAGGCACTGGACTAAATATTTTTAGTCTAGTAAATTATCTCATTTTGTCTTCCCATCATGAGGCAAGGGATATTATTTTTGTGAAAACAGAAATCTGGTAACAGGAACTCATTTGCCCAAGTTTCCAAAGCCAAAAAGGGGCAGAGGCAGGATTTGAACCAAGTCTTAATTCTAGAACTTACACATTTAGTCACTATGTTATATTTAGAAAGTTTTATATGCCATTTACAATTAATTCAATGTCATTTCAGTCCCATTTCTATAACTTCTTAGAAATCAGACCCTTGATCAGGAGCTTTGTTATTTTTAAAATACTGGCTTAGGCTAAAATTACTTGACTTACCTTACCTTGACCAGACAGCAAGGTGAAGGTCACCTCTGGTATGGAACCTTCCTCTGATCCTGTCCCTTTTATCCAGGTCTTGGGTTGGCTTCATGTGATGTTTTTAGGATCATTTCCATGTTGTGCAGTGCTGTTATCTTATACATCCTGTTTAAATTTTTGTTCTCAAAAAGCACTGTCTTATCATCAAGCCATTATCTTGTGAGTTCCACCAAGATCAAAAACTACCGAGTGAGTTCCACCAAGATCCAAACAAATTAAAACATCATTTGCCGGTGGTGGGAGGGTCTCTCCGGCCAGGTGGTAACTTAGGGAAGCAGCAGCAGTTCTCCACATCACCCAAGATGACTGGCTAGCACTGGGAGTACTTTTTACTGGTTCCCGACAGTAAGGCTCCTGTAAGTAGGGCACCAGCTAGTTCACACAGAGGGCTCCCTCTCTGTGTTAATTTTTATTTATTTTTAAATTTTGGTTTTATTTATTTTATTTTTAAAATTTAAATTCAATTAATTAACATATAATATATTATTGGTTTCAGAGGCAGAGGTCAGTGATTCATCAGTCTTACTAATACCCAGTACTCATTACATCATGTGCTCTCCCCCAAGTCCATCATCCATCCCATTCACCCACCCCCTACCCCCCTGGAGCAAACCTGTTTGTTTCCTATGATTAAGAGTCTTCTATGGTTTGCCTCCCTCTCTGATTTTGTCTTGTTTTATTTTTCCTTCTCTTCCCTATGGTCCTGTTTTGTTTCTTAAATTCCACATATGAGTGAGATCATGTAATTGCCTTCCTCTGATTGACTTATTTCACTTAGCATAATACTCTAGTTCCATCTACATCATTGCAAATACTTTAACTTTTAATATAGCGTTTCCTTCTTATCCACTTTATTTTTCTTTTAAAAATAAATACACAAAAAAGAAACTAAAAAATCTTATACCCTCACTTTCCTGATACAGCAGGCTGATTTTTATTTTTATTTATTTAATTTTATTTTTTTAAAATATTTTATCCATTTATTTAGAGACACGGAGAGACAGAGACAGCGAGAATACAAGGGGCGGGGGCAGAGGGAGAGGGGGAGGGAGAGAATCCCAAAGTGCAGGCTAAGCATGGAGACTGAGGCGGGGCTCGATCCCATGACCCTGAGATCATGACCTGAGCCAAAATCAAGAGTCCGACGCTTAAAGAACTAGGCCACCCAGGTACCCTTCTGGTTGATTTTTTAAAATAAAAACATTGATAATATTACCAAATTCAAAGAGTTTAGGAACATGGCCAAGAGAAGGTGGACCAGCCTCTTTCTACTTAGACTGCTTCCACTGACTTACTAACATAATCGGCTATTAATAGAGTCTATGAACTTATAAGGGCCTATGGAATTTTTCTTAATTAATTTTTTTTTCAGTAGGCTCCACGCCCAGTGTGGAGTCCAAGGCAGGGCTTGAACTCACAACCCTGACATCAAGACCTGAGCTGAGAATAAGAGTCGGACATTCAACTGACTGAACCACCCAGGTGCCCCCTATGGAAATACCTAAGATCTGAAAAAAAAAAAAATTGCATCTAAGAGACAAAAAGGAAAAGCTGCAAATTGGAACAAGAAATTAATCAATAGTTACTTAAATATATTAAAAATGTGATATTAGGTCAACTGGCCAACTGTAGTTCAAATGAATTCAACTCCTACACAGTTGTATGTGAACTACATATTTAATGAGGCACGTGTCCACATTTCATTCCATCATTAGCTGTGATAATAGAGGGACTTCAAAGGGAAAACTGCTTGGTGCTCTTAAAAGACTCTAAGTGACTCTGTCTTCCTCCTCATTAACCCCATCCCCCTCTAAAGATAACAGCTCTTATTTGTTTCTTATTTTAAGATTTTATTTATTTATTTGACAGAGAGAGACACAGTGAGAGAGGGAACAAACAGGGGGAGTGGGAGAGAGAGAAGGAGGCTTCCCGCT